TCCTATCTGCTCTGAATAGCTAGGAAGAAGGAAAAGGAAATAGTAAAAATTAGAATCTGTTTTGAAAGAATTAATTATGATTATTTTTTGCTCTTAGAAGTGTAGCTTTCACACTGAACTTTTAACTTTTCTGCTCTGATCACTTCCTGTAAGGGGTTTGCTAGGCACATGAGGCCTTAAAGAAGGAACTTCTGCAAGCCCAAGCTAAACTTCATTTTGCGTTTTGGGAGCAACTGTCAGTGAAGCAGGACTGTTGCCATGTTGATTGTCTGAAACTGGCTGAAAGGATATTTAAGACACAGTTATTAAAAGATAATAGGTGACACTTTTTTGGTTTTATTTAATACGACTCTAGGTGAACAATTTTCTAGAAGGAAGTCACCCTTCAAATAAACTTGTGTAAAAACAAACAAAAGCAAAAAAAACCCTATGCCTTCATTTGGTAAAGTGTTCAAATGTATCTCTGCATGACATACACTCATAATGGACTTTTCAGGAATTTCTTTCAAATTGCTAAGTTGTGAGATACCATCTTTTTGTCCTTCTGAATATACCAGTTGATCAAAATTTTAGGGTTGGTGCTAGTTGTTTTTTGCTAGCAGCAATGTCCAGAAATTGTTTTAGAGGAAAACTGAAGAAAGGGATAACATCCTGTCTTTAAAGTTAACTGGAAGCTGCTAATAATATAATTGAGACCTACTACCCACCTACCCCTCCTACCAGCAGGCAGCTATTGTGTGTGCAAGAGCTGACCAGAAGTGTCCCTTAGAGATCTTACGGAAACAGTGCACTAAATCTATTCAGCAACTGTGCCTTGAAGAAAAAAAAAAATAGGTAAAAGCTCATAAATGTGCCTTACCAGAGAAAATGTTAGTAAAAGACAGAATAGGACTGGAAAACAAACAACTGTATTATCTCAAACTGTACCTGACTTTGTTATCTACCCACTTGGTTAAATCAGGCTTTTGAAGACTTGCTCGCTCATCCTCCATGGCTGCTACTGTCACATAACTCCATTCAAGCACCGCTTAACGCCACTCATGATCACAGGTCAGAGGAATATGACAAGAAACTTTTTTTCACTGTTGGAATTTTTACTTCTTTTTATTTTAGCCATTACTGTTAAAATGACTGCTAATAAAGATTATAGTCCAGCACAGCCAGCAGTTCAGTTATTACGTTTGAAATTTTTGAGTGCCCAGTGGTATACAGACATTTTTAGTAGCTTGGATTTGTCCTAGGACATAAACTAATGTTGAGAAAATGATGCAATGGAAAACTGTTTTCTTATTTTATAGAATGAAACAACAAAAAAAGGGGGGTAGGGAGTGGCAGGGAGGGTCTGTTGGACTGAGTTCCAACATTCAGGTGCACTTTATTCCCCCTCTTTCACCCATTATTGTACTTTATATTTTCCTTTGCAGTTGTTTGTGTATTTAAGCTATTGGGGATTCAATCAACCTTGCTCCACTGAGAGATCTACCTAGCCAACTGATCAGTGGAACCAGTGAACTTTCCGAATATGTTTTACTGTAAACACATGTTTTCTTTTTTTAATATCAAATTGAGCAAATCACTGCAAGAAGTCAGAGGTGCTGTGTGGTAGTTTAGGGTCTGTTCTCCCATCACACCTGGTTTATTTTGTCTGCTGCTCACACCACTGTAGGTATAGAGTTACATACTCACCTGGTCCTAGTCAGTATCTGAATGCTTTGCTCTGAATTGGTCTGACTTCTTTTGGGATAGAATTCATAATCTTCATACTACTCAAGAGGAACGATTTTTTTTCAGCAGCAGCTGAATAAATGGGACATCATTCATGCCTGGATTTGTATCATTACAAGCAACATTAGATCTTTCTCAGTTTGTGAAGGAGGCTGTGTATCTTAAAATTAAGTAGGAGTTGTTCTTCAATGCTCTTCAAGACTCTCACCCCTCTTGTGGCTGTGTTCATATGCCTGTATCTCCCTGAGAGTATTAATGGGTGATAGCACAAGAACAAATGGATATAAATTGGCATCTTTCTTAACAAATCTTTTTTATCTCTTGGAGCTGCCTGAAGCAGTCATATCCCCTCTCAGCTTTTGTTTTATTCAACTGAAGCCAAGTTGTTCTCGTCCTCTGTAAAATAGGTAATTCTTCATAGCTTTTATCATCATATATACCATATATATCTTCACCATGGATGTTAAGACTGTACACAATATAACCTGATGCAGCAGCCATAAAACTTTCCTGGAATTTTAATTGAAACACCCAAGGGTCTCACTTACTTTATAATGGAGCTAGTGGCTCCCAGTGGTACTGCGACAGCTAATACACCCAGTTCTTTCTGTCAACTCAACTAAGATGACCTTGGTTTACTGTAGAAATTCTTGTTGTTCATCTTATATGTTATTTGCTAAAGGCTATCCTATTGGTGACAGCAATGTCACAGCCACATAAAATAGGTTACTTTTCTCATTCCTGTGCACCCTGGATGGCTCAGTCTGCCACTTGTTGCCTTTATCACCAGTGCTGTAAGCTATGTACTCTGAGAGGACAGAATTTATCACTAGAAATGCAGAGGCTCCTCTTGCCACTGACCTGCGCAGTCTACCTTCTCTTGCCTTTTTTCTTCAGGCAAGTATTTAGGCTGCAGGTTCTCCAAGGCCAGGCATTTTTTGCACACTGAGCAGACAGTGACAAGCACATCAGTCTCACTCAGGCCTCTAGGTACTCCCTGCGAAATCCTACATGAATGTCATACAGGGAGGGATCAGAAGCATCCTGTGTCTCCAGTCGGCATTACTTCTCCCCCAACAGCCAGGAGGGTCCATGGCACATTCTCATGGAAAGGATCTGCCTGCTTGAAAGGATCTCCTCTATCTACATTTCTTTCTTTTGCACAAAATGCTGAACTCCTGACAGCAATAGCTGAGCTGATGGGTAGTGGTTCTTCACAGGATAGAAGGACTAACCTGGCAAAACTGGTTTTCCTCCCAGATTTTGGGATCTGGATGAAGTCTCAAAGATCGATTTGACCTTTCTCACTGCCAAAGGTAGGCTTTAACTTGGTGCTTGTCGTGGAAGTCAGAAGAAGTGAAAGACCTTGTCCAGGATAGTATCTATGAAGTTCAACTATGTTCATTATTGGCAGTTTTATGGAACATTTCCCAGTTTTAAGACAAGTTTGTGCTGAAATCTTGTGAGACATTGTATACTTTGTAAAGACACAGTATTTGATTTTGAAGTGACTTATTAAATAAAACGTTGCTGAATTAGTTTGTCTTCCTGTGAAAATGATCACCTTTTGGAAAGTAATGAGATCCTGCTTCCTCCAAGCTTTAGGCATTTTAGCCTTCCAGGGGAGTCATAGCACTATCCAGCTGCATTCAAGGGGATTTTCTGGGATGTGTGCAGCATCACTATCCGGGTGAGTTCAAGGACACTTTCTAGCATGCAAGCAGAACACATGTTCTTTAACTTGTATGCTTGCAAGTGATGTAACCCATCAGCATTTGGATGAACAAAATGGAAAAAAGGTTACTTTATTGTCTATAAATCCACAGGCAGGGTGCTGATTTCTAATAGACACAAACACAGGAGTTGTAGCCGTTCAATGTGCTTTTCCTTCTGTCTGAAGATGGAGTATATGTACTCTTGTAAGCTGCATCACTGGGCTGATGGCAAAAGCTGTGTGACTTTAGAACAACTTATTCCAGCACTGAAGTAATTTTACTTGCCAGGTGATACGACAACTATGTCTTCATTCAGGGTATCTCAGATACATGAGTTTATGCATTTCCTCTGAACTCCCTTCTCTTTCCAATGGCTCTGCTACTAAAGAAAACTCTGAAGTAACATCTTGTATCTTTGAAGTGTATGTTTATATTTATTTTACTATTTGCCTTAGTGATGTCTTCAGTAACTGTTCCAATATGAGTGTAACCCTCACAGATAAGCGCAGGAGGATATGTGCCAAGCACTGCTGTAAGGTGATAAAGCAATGCCTTTGTTTTGCATCAGACTAAAGAATGCAAAAGTTCCTGGCATGTTAATTTTTTTTCCCCACCATGGGGATATTTGCTGTTGTGTATTGGTTCCCTCAATGCCCCAAATCACTTACTACAAAGCTCTTGCAGATATTTTCTGTCAGAAACAACACCAGACTCTTTGAAGAAAGTACATTTAAATCTATGGCCTGGAAAAAAGAGGATTTTGGGTAAGGAAGAGAATTCCATAAAGGGGACAGGCATGTGGTAATGGAGAACTGAAGTAATAGCAAGCAGAGGGAGAAGAGAACTGGAGTCACAGCACCCATTGCCGCATAGAGTAGGTCTAGAAGACTTACACAGTTGTGGTTTTTCATCAGATTTATAATTTTGGCAACCAGGTTTTCCAGCTCTTGCAGCTGTTGATCAGCACAGTGACTTTGAACCCCCTGGGTGTATTGGAAGATTAAATTAACAGCAATTTGTATGGTCAGGAAGTTCGGTACAACCAGAGTGCATGGGACTGTCTGCACTTACACAATCAATTGGCTCGTATGCAGTGGTATAAACCTGCAAGTCACTGGCTTTTACAGGGCTGACTGATGTTCAGAAAGCCACTTTTCTGTAGAATCACCCAAAGCAATAGTACTGTCAGGTATGGCATCATATATTTGATCCAGATTCTTCACATGATGCAAGCTAGAGCAGCCCCATTGGCTTCACTGGTATTAAAAATTACTTATTCTAGCAGGGGACCTGGCTGTATTTTTTGCCTTTGCCATGTTTCTCATTAGAAAGGATTTGTGTTGCACAGTTAATTTATTGCAGATGAAACATGCCCATCTACCCTGTTTCTCCAACCAAATGCAACTTTACATTCCTGTCTAGGAACACTGCCCTAGGTTGGGTGAAATGAAAATGCCTGATGGTGGATACAATGTAAGGGAAATTTAGAAAGGAGTATACAGAGCAATGGATTAAAGTGCATTTGCCTGCTGGAGCTAGTGTTTATCCTTCCTTATGCAGCTCGAAAGCTCGTGGGCAGCTGGTGGCTGTGAGCCAGCCTGGAGTGTGTCGCTATGGTTCTAGGCTGGATTGCTGTTATGGCTGGAAAAAGAACAACAAGGGCCACTGCGAAGGTAACATTAACACTTTATGCTTGTTTTCTCTCCACAGCTGTGTACTCAGTATTAATAAAGGAATTTCATATATGTCTGCCAGAAGTTAATAGAAAAAGGAAAAGAGGGAGATAGAGGGAATGGGGGAATACAGATCACCGGTCTGGGTTCCTGCGCTCATCCTGCCGGCGAGGGTTCCAGGAGATGGGCGTCTTTTTTGCTTTTTTCACTCTTATGAGTGAAATCTCTTAACTCTGTGAGAGAGTGAATAAATCATCTTTGAGCGGTATCTCCTCAAAAATGCAGAGCTTTGTGTAAATAACACCAAACCATAAAAAACATATTCAAAAATTCTTAGGTCCAGAAGGGACCATCTGTTCTAACCTCCTGCACAGCCCTGGTCAGCCTATACTGTTACAGCTATCAAGTAAGTGCCAAAAATGCAGTGTTTTCTAATGCTACATACAGACCCCTACAATGGTTTTCTATTAATTTGTATCCTTTATCTTCAAAGTACACAGCCTCTAAGAACCAGGAGGTTTTAACTTTCTAAAAATATAAATAAAACCCCAGCAATAAGTGCACCTTGACTTGAGCCTGGGTAGCCAGATAGCATTCTGGTCTGTGAGTCATTGGCTTAATGAAGAGTCAGTGGTTCTTAAGACATTTCTGATTTGTAAAAGGCCTGCAGATCCCAAGGAGAAGGTGATGTGGAATCTCTCTCTAGCGATACTTGGGCAAAACACAACAAAATGTAAAAGACATGTTTTGAGAATCTTTTTCAGATGTTGCACCTGTTGTCCCAGAGAGTTTGGCATTGTATATCTGGTGAATTTGAATAGAGGCTTGTCACATTAGGGTTATTCACTGCTGAAAATAAACATACTGGTATCTAAAGGGAAAGATGCCAGAATGTCTCTGCTCTGTATATATAACATGTCAGTTTAAGAAAGGACAAAAGTGATTAATACCTGTATTAATATTTCTGCATTTCTTAATAGCACCTTAGTTTTGATGCAAATGAGTATCTGGAGGGACAACTGGCAAATGTAACCTTGATCAGCCAGTGGAGTACGTTGCTTTTGTACTAAAATACAGTTTTCATAAACTTCTAAGATTTTTCTATGGCAGATTACTTTAAGCCAGCTATAATGTAATTCTGCACTGAAAATCCAGATGCAGCAGTTCTCTGCTTCAGTGTTAATACTCAGCTGGTCTTGTAGTATGCATTCAGAGAGAGAGGTAGTGTTGAAAAATGCCTTAATCTGCCAAATTAGTGGATCAGTACATCTGAATGAATCTTTAAATGTAAGAAAGATACTTGAATTCAAAAGTATGAATTTTAATTATGACTTTTACTATATAGTAACTAACACTGTGAGTTTCCTATTTCCTACAGTTTGCTTAATTACACAAAGTAGGGAGAAGTGCATTCTGGTGCATACTCTTTCACTGTTTTTCCAAAGCTAGTCCTGATTTAAATGCATGTTTGGTTTGTTTTTCCTGAATAACACTCATGTTGACAATCACATTGAGTTTAGGAGCCTTAAGCCTTGTAAAAGTCAGCATTTAATTTCTGAGTAATCATCCAGAGGGCTGAGAGTTAGAAAATTTTTACTTTTTAATGAATCCAGGATAAGCATAACCTTCTCAAGTCATTGTAAACCTGATGCAATTATTCTTACTGGGATGTGTGGTAGGGACAGTTGCCTCATCATCTGACAGATGTGGTCTGGATGTTCTACCATGGAATGGGCACGTTCCTCAGTTGTAACTGAGGAGATCCAAGAGTGGAAAATTGCTGTAGGGTAATATGTCTCCTTTTGCTGCAGGAGAGTGCTATTGCATCTTTCTTACTCCAGATGCCAAGCATAGCGAGTCAAGCAGCTGGTTAGCTGCTTCCCACGTAGGCTTCTTAAAAGCAGGAAAAAGGCAAGAGTACAAAACTAAATGTATAAACATGGCAGAAAAAGCATGAGGGAGAGAGCTAAAAGGAGTTCCTTCTTTTCCAGGTCTTTACAAACCTGGAAAAGTACACACTCATGTAATCTGTGCTAGTGTCACTTTTTTCAAGCAGAAATAATGTGCTGATTAGCAGCTACCATGCCCAAACTAGAGGGAGAGGTATGGTGAATGTTGAACTTGTGCAACAGGTTTATAGGCAACTAAGCAGGGCAAATGTTCTCGAGTATTTCTAACTTTTTCTTTTTCTCTCTCTTTTTTCTCTGCCTGACTCTGCCAGCTATCTGTGGACATGGCTGCAAGTATGGCGAGTGCATAGGACCAAACAAATGCAAATGTTTCCCTGGATTTACAGGGAAAACCTGTAATCAAGGTTTGTGCACATGGGGATATTGCTCCAGAAAGTAGACTGTTGATGTTCTGTCTCTTATCTTGTACTATGGATTGTGTCGTCTTCCAAAACAGTAAAGCTGGATATTTTATTGTTTACATAGAAGAGCTTAGAGTTTAAGGCTCTTGCATCTCCAGCATCCCAGGCAAGCTCTAAGCCTCCTTCTGCACACAGAAGTTTGAAGCTATGTCATGTATCTCCTGTGGTCTGGTGACCAGGAAACTGTCATATTTATAGTCAGAAAATTAAGTCATGGAGAGATTATGTAGGAAATTATTAGAAGACACAAAAGTCAAATCCAGAACCCATGTTATTTTCTTAACTAGCAACCCTTGTTACTTTCTTAACTAACCTTCTCATCAGAAAGACATGCAATTATATGCTAAACATGTAATTTCTCAAGGTGTCTGGGCCAATGCCATCTGTTCGCATATGCTGATTGGTATTTCTGAGAACCAGAACTGGGAGTCTTTAGAATTGCATATTCAGAAACTCCGAATGCACCACTTTCCCTCCATAAACTTTCAATTAGACATGGAAATATTTCAGCTAACACATTGGTGAGAACTCAGCTTTTTTTTCCTGTTGCAATGTATCAGACCCCTCTGTTGGATGAGATGAAAGGAGCAGGTCAGTGTGCGTGGAGAGAGGCCAGCCTACTGCAGTGCAGATGAGTGAACTGCAGGTGCTGTGAGGCAAGCATGACATAAAGGCCACACAAATGGATGAGTCTATACTTGCTACCTTCCTAAGCACCTGCAGCCTTTGCTTGAAAATGTTGCATTGACATACTGAACACACATTTTTCAGAGTCAAAACAACGTGTTTATTACACAATATCTTTTGAACAATATACTATAAAGCTATGTGGTTAAGAATTTTGGAAAACTTCAGCTTTTGCACTTTTGATGTTGCTCACAGGGAAAGAAGTAGATTCCTCAGTACCACTAGACAGGAAAGTGAAACAGCAGCCGTGGTTGTGTGTCGTAGATATGTAGGTATTGCTTACAACTTCAGCCTCTAAACGCAGAACTTTAAACTCAAAAATAATTTGGCAGTTTAAACATTACCAAAAAACAACAGAAAAGCCCCCAGCTTTTAGGTATTTTCTGTGCAGTAATTCAAGCTGCATTTGATATGCCCTCTGTGGGCAACCACAGATCAGTTCTGTGCACTTGCAGTGGATTCAGAGTCTGAGGCTTGGTGGAAGCACCTCACAGACCTACATGTGCAAATTGTCTCTTAGCTCCTTGGGCTGTTCTACCTTATGAAGCATGGCCAGGAATTTTTTAGTGAAGTGTCTGGCACAAGCCAGGAATGTCCCAGAGGCATTGCAATAGTATAGCCATATAGGTGGCCATGTTCCAGCAGCCAGGAATGCTCAGTCACTTATAATTCACCAGCAGATGTAGCATTGGTCTTAACAGCAGAATGCCCTGCTGAGCAAGCTCAAATGAGCTAACTAAAATAACAGAGATAAGGGGACTGTATTAGTCTGCCACCAAGTCTGAGCTAACTTAGCCTTATCTCTATAGGTTCTCTTTTAGAGCTGTGTATACTATCTGTGCATTACTGTGCATTGTCCAAGATAGGTGCAGCTAAGTACTTTTGAAAATGTAGGGTCTAAGAGGAATAACTTTTGTTCCTTAGTTTGCTTTCTAGTTTCTTTGTTAAGAGAGTCTTGGTTATTTAGTGGAGTCACAGTAGCACAAAAATCCAATGTGTTTTGCAAGCTGATAGCTGATAAGTCTGTTCTTTGTCAAACAGACCCTACATTTAAATAATAGAATACAACCCTCTCTTTCTTCCCTGGACTGAGCTGTAACAAACACTTCTGCACATGTATTACCCCTCACAAAGTTTTGCTTAGAATGATCTGGAGTTTTTTCTGTGGTCTGTAGGGGGCATAGACAGATGCTTCTCCCATTAGAAGTGGAGCTGCACAAATTCAGTGCTTGCTTGGAGAGTTGCACCTTTATTGAAATTATATTATTGGTCATATGTGCTATTAAACACATGTTGAACAGGCTGTGTATGTTGGCGCATTCTGCCAATGAGTTCTGTCTGTTTACTAATCAGGTTTCAAAATACAAGTAGAGGTGTCAGTTCACAGAAGTCACAAGCACAGATATTGTCCCCTTGTGATAGGACCAATACCATTGTCAGCACTGCTCTGTCTATACCACACAAATTAAACTTTTTAGTTTTCACTCTGTGAAGGATAGCTATGGGGAATTTGAAATTAGTTTAGTTTCTGGAAAACCTTTTAAATCCTGGATTTTGAGAAGGATTTAGGATCCTTTTATTCTCAGGATTTTTAGATTTTTGAGATTTGTTCTTTTATTCTTAGTCACATAATTCTTATCAAATATTGTACTTCATTTCTGCTACTGATAACCTTGGTGCCAATGTGTAGCACAGAAAAAAAAAAAAAAATCATTGTTTCACTTTATCTCAAGCTGATTTGCTTTGTCTTAGTCTCATGGTTTTCCTTTCTAGTACAGAGGTCAACTGGAGGGCTAAAATCTCCAGCTAGAATCAGAGAAATCTAAAAAAATAACTCTCAGAAAAGAGACTAACTGGAATTCTCTCCTCACCCCTCCACCTCTTCCTAACAAGCTGCCAGATGTGGCCAGAGTTTTCATTAGTTTTTCAGGTGTAGAAGTCTGTGTATGTAAGTTTTGCTAGCAGTCTTTCAGCCAGATGGTCTGCTAACTCTCATCTTGCAAAGGGCTGGCTCATTTTCAATCCAGGCAATTTTACTGTGGGGAATTCAAGGCTATAGGCAACATTATCCATCTATATGTATGAATATATGTGTACAAACCCAGCACTCACTTCATTCTAATAACTTCTGCAGATCTGAACGAATGTGGACTGAAACCACGGCCCTGTGAACACAGATGTATGAATACACATGGCAGCTACAAGTGCTATTGTCTCAATGGGTATATGCTTATGCCAGATGGCACGTGTGCAAGTAAGTAATAGAGCTGATAGGACAAGCACACCAAAATCATCTAATCTCATTTGATCCCAGCAGATTTTCTTTTTGAGATTAATGGATTTAGCTTATTCAGGATAGGGTCTTTGCCTCTGCTCTCTGTTACTGGCAGCAGCTGAAAGAGGCTTTCTATTTGGCAGTTCTTGGGTGAAGTAAACTAGGTCATACTTGTATTTTGATGTTCAGGGAAATTTTTGTGCTGCTAGAAGTAAAAATCTTTGATAGGTTACTTCAGATGAAGGACAGCTAGTATAATCTTGGTGCATAGTCCTGCCATTTCATATGTTGACTAAGAATGAATTAATCTATCCAAGCAAAGCACTAATGTAGACTACATTTTACTGTGCTGAATTTCATACCATTATTCCTTGGTTTACCTTTCTGTGCTCCCTGACTAATATATTTTATCTGTGTTGATATGCTTTCCACAGTTACCACCAGCTTCTTGCAAACATTTGTTCATTGAGCTAAGGCTTATCTAAACTGTTTTTCTAGCTATTTTCTTCTCTTTAAGCCAGCATGTAGTGGAAAGCATTCTGCTTTCTTATCCAACCTGATTTTTCAGATCTGAGGAAGCTTCTTATTTTTCAATGACACTGTTTTGTTTGTAGAAAATACTTTTTTTTCTTTACCTGAGCTGTTCCATACAGATATTTTAGCTTTGAATTTCACAAAACCCTTGGTAACATGGTGATGGCCCTTTATGGAGTCCACTGGACTAGAGCAGATGCATCAGTTGGACAAGGAAGCTAGCTGGTCTCAGCAGTGGAACAATCTGCTTGAGAGGTCTCTCCCAAACCAATGGGATGTAGCTGTATGGGGTGCAGCACAGTCTTTCACATGGATATGACAGAAAACCATAAACTCTGAAAGGCTTTGACCTCCAAACCTTGGAGACAGCCATTCACCAGGCAGGGTGTCCATCTGGTGAGTTTGCTGTCAGTCTTGGGATAACCAGAAAAATACTCAGCCTTGGCAAACACTTGCAGGAGTGCAGGGTCTGCAGCTCAAGGGCAGGTGGGAAAGCCAGAGCTCCTACTCCCTCTCTCTTATGAAAGGGAGACTGAAGTTGCCACAAAAGGAGCCTGGGGCCAGAGTTTTTGGAGAGTTTCCCTTCCCTGCATCACAGCTCAGGGTCGTGACTCTGCATTACTAAGCATGGTGTGTGTCACTGGCAGACAACAGCTGCAGGGCCCCGTGATCCCTGAGAAATGGATATATACTCCTTCCATGTCATCCAAGATAATTTGTGTATCTGCTGACATCATACACAGCAGTTTTCAGTAAGACCACTGTCTTAAGGACAGCTGAAGTCGGCAGAAGCCAGAACTACAGTCAAAAGAAACAATCTTTTGAGCTCAGCAGCAGCTTTGTCTGTCCATTACTCACTTCTGCTCCTCTGAGCACAAAGACTTGCTGCAGCCACGCTTCTGAACCATCAGAAAACTAGATCCAGGGCATAACTTACTATTTCTGCTGCATTAGTTTTAATCCAGTTTTAGTTCAGGACTTGTTTCCTGATTTAAGAAACACTGCATTTGTACCAAATTTGTTCCAAATGCGCAGTTGCAACATCACTTGCTTAAGCCAGCAAAAAAAGCTGAATTTCTCAGCAGCAGTGGTAGCCAGTGTCAAGTATATGTAAAAAAATTGCCTGAGCAGCTGTGAGCCCTGAAGTGTTTCCCTTTGTCACACAGAAACATTATTTCTCAGTGAAACCCTGACAAATACTGACACAGAATAAAACCAAATTTCAGGGGGAAAACCAGGTTTGCTGTAGAAGGGAAGTCTTCATTCTTCACAACTCTAGTTAAGGGGGCCAAACATGTTCATCTGGCTTGTGCTTCATTAACCCAACCCATCTGCCACCTTCCAGTTCCAAAGAGCCTTTATTTTCTTCAGCAGAAACTGTGATTTTAAAATGAAGTAGTAAATTATTTGCTCAAGTAAAAATTATCCTTGGTTAAGTTTAGCAGCCTTCTATTTCACTTGATGCTAACTTAAGCTTGTGCTTAGATGAAATACTGGGTCATTTAGCCAACTGTATAATTCTCATCATTTTATTCAGGCAAACATTCTGAGCATATTGTTGCTCCTTTTGAATCAAATTCACCATTATGTAGTCTCCTTAGCAAGATGAAGTCCACCTAGTCTGAGCAGTCAGGCTTATCTGCAACCATGCCAAGGGGCCATGGAGCTGGAAGAAGGATATCAGAAGAATATGGCTTTGGGCCACAGAGAACCATTGCTTAAAATGGTTCTCTGTGGTTAGTACATAACCACAGAGGTTAGAAGGTTAGTAACTAACACAACATCATCCAAATTCTGGAGGAAGATATTAGATCGGATTAGCAGTTCATCTAAGCCAGTATTATGTCTAACCAAAGCCAGGAATAGGAAAACAAAAGAGAAAACAAAAGAGAAAACAGGCAATTACCAGTTAGAGAAGAACACTTTTTAGTAAATTTCTTTATTCCCACTTAGAAAGTACATAATGTGCCAAAGTATTATGATTTACAGTCCCTTTTTAAACTCTTACTGCCTGTATGTTCTCATTCATACAGAAGTAAAATGCTTTTGCAGATACAGTAAATTCTTGTCCTTGAATATTCATCACTTATTCTAAACAAACCAGCCTAAGAAAACAAGTTTATCACAGATTAAACAGATTAATTTTAATAGCACACAGAACTAATATGCATTGTATTTTATACTCAAATCACAAATAAAGTGGCTGTAGCTATATATTGCACCAGCACACATCACTGTCTTTTCTATACACTATTATGCACTGTTCTAAAAGTGCTAGTACCTTTGACAATAAACATGTTGCATTTTAAAATAAGTTTCATATCTTATTCTACCTAAGCAGTGAGGCAGTTTCAAGTTCTTGCAGTTGGTTTCTGTCTCAAATAAATTGACAACTGTTCCAGGCTTTCAACTTACAAAGAACCTATATACAATTCTGTTTCTCTGAACACAGCCAGAGTGAAGTAGCTGGAAATACTTTCTCTGCACACACCTCCATCTGTTCCAGTACACACTTCCAAATGCTACTTCTCTCCCTGGCATCATAACACTGATGCTTTCTGGGTATCTTCAGGATTTTAGAAATGTCTACCCACATACTTAATATTTTTCTCCTACTCTTCTAGTAGGAAAAATATGTCACATAGATCTCTCAGACGGTATCTAGACGCCTACATTTCTATTTAGATGCTGAGCAAAATAATCTCCAATAATATGGCCTCCTAACCAACCTTGGTGGCAACCAAGATTTCTGTTCTGGCTAGTGCCTCATTAGATTCAGATATCTGTTCCATAAAGTGTCAAAATAAAGGACAGTTTCTAAGTCCATCAGGCTAAATAGGTTTTAAAATCAAGTTCTGTACTAGAAACATATTTACTGGTAAGCAATCATTTCACTACTGAGTAGCAGTTTTCTGTAAGGTGAAACTGTTTCAATGGAAAATGTAAACCCCACTTTTTTTTTTTCTACTTTTAGCAGTTCAGTCTCTGAATTTAAAAGGTAAGAATTCACAGAACAGGGATCAAAATAAAAAGGAGGAATAATGGCAGATAAGGAAAGAACAAAGTGAAGGAGAATGTTAAGATATATCCCATAGACTCCTGAATTGTTAATGTATAAACAGCTTGATTTATGATGAACGGAATTTTGTTGTTCTGATTAATTTTCTGCATTCACCCAGATCTAACTTAATTTTAAGTGTGTATCCCAGCCTAGAATTTTGCTCTTTTTGTTATTTTAAATACTGTTTTGTTATTTTAAATACCGTTTCCAGGTTCTAGGACATGTGCCATGGTGAAATGCCAATATGGATGTGAAGAAGTCAAAGGGGAGGTGCAGTGTCTTTGTCCATCAGGTGGTCTTCAGTTGGGACCAAACGGAAGGACATGCATTGGTATGGTTAGAGAGCTCACCCTCAAGCTTCTTTTCTATAGGATCCCCAAAACCTCAAGATTCTGGGGAAAGGTTAAGTAGTTAGCCCTCCTCACTGGCTTGAATAATGCTTCTTGTTACTCACTGTATGATATGAAGCTTGCATGCTTTTTAATAACTGTTCTTGTAATACTGGCCATGTAATTCTTTGGGTATGTCCCATCCCCAATAAATAATTGAAAGTTTTGTCATGGTTTGGAGTCATTAACAGATTCAGTTTCTCCCTGTTGCTATGAGGCCATTAAATACAATGCTTTGCCCGCAGGAAGCTGTCCTACTGACATAATGCCTTATAGGGTTGAGGTGGTGTGTTTGGATGGGGTTTTCTTTTATTGTGATGACTCATAATACAAACTTCTGAATTTTTCTCCAGCCTCAGTATCACTTTACCATGTAATGAAGAAAGCATTGCTTATAACTCTTGATACTGTTCTGTGATACTGTTTGACATTGTCATCTGACAAAGCAGTGCTATAGCATTGTAATTCAATGTTGAAATTGTACCCATTTTAATACTGAAGCTAAATGAGCTCCTTTCAAAACGCAATAGATATGAAACAAACCCTCCAAAGCAGACCACTTCAACAACTAGAGAAGGGGCAGTGAAGTGCATGTCAGAGAGTAGCAAGAGCAGTGTAACCATCTCTAGGTGACCCTGCTTGAGCAGCGCAGTTGGACCAGATGACCTCCAGAGGTCCCTTCCATCCTCAACCATTCTGTGAAAAACTTTTTTGCAACAAGTGCTATTTACTAACATGTCTTTAGCAACATACTTCATAATACTGATGATTTTACATGTTTTACATTCTTACTGTCACAATGATGCAGGTCTTTCAGATCATAAAGGGCAACTTGGACATGATATGTTACAGGCAAAGAAGAATAACAACAGCTAATCCATTTCATATGCTGCTCATCAATAAATACTGGTTGAATGATCTCTACAGCTTAAAGAACATTATAGATGTTGAGAGATGTTTAACATTCAAATATAAAAATATTAATTTTAGCTCCAACAGCCAAAACAACATTTTACTTAACATTTCAAACAAAAGATAAATTAAATAAATACATCGACCAAGAATCGCTGCTGTATAGAAGGACAGTTATTAGATGAATCATTCTCTTTAACACACAACTGTAATTTCAAGTCACATATGAAGGTTGTATGGCCTGGGACTACTTTATCACTTTTAGGAGCTATCAAATAAACCCATATGGATACTTGGCTCAGCTTCCAAACAAAGACTCCAAAATGAGAACATTATTTCTTTCTTTCAAATGGAGTTTGTAATTGGAACTGTCCTGCTTTGAGTAATTAGCAAGGCTCTCGGACCACCACCAGTCACTGTTAATATTTGTTTGAATTATTTAAGAGCTATGTGAAGGTAAAATTGTAGACATATATATTTAAATACAACAGACAAGATGAATTATTCTCTTATATCTCTTACTGAATTATTCAGGCAATTATTCTTTTGTATTGAGTTTATTTGTATTTACCTTGCCTGCTCAAATGGATTTGTGAGAATGCTGATACATACAATAGAAGTTAAAAAAGAAAAAAAGATATGTCCAGTTGTTGGAAATATCAGATCCCTTATTTCTGCATGACTTGTGGTATGTCATCAGTTCTCCATCTCTAAAATAAGATAGCATCCTCTTGCTGTATAGCATAATAGATGCTTAATATACTGTAAGATGCTCTAATGCTCTAGTATTAGTCACAGAAACACTATAAACATAAGCATTTGAAAATCCCTGGCTATTAGTCTTAGTTTAATTCTTCTAAGAAGCTGTATTATTCTTGGACCTGCAGAGCAGCACATTCATGTGGCTTACTTTTCCTCTTCTACATGTGCATAGGTGAAGGAAAAAAAAACCCCAAACAAGTATAGATCAAAATTTTTAATTAAACCTAAACCTGTTGTTTCTAAGAGTACAGTGAGTCTTCAGCGTTCACTGCAAGTCAGAAGCTTCACGCTAAGATCGAGTGCAGCAGGCTTGTCCTTTAGCTTGTGACAGACCCTGGTCCTGGCAGAGGCATGGGGAAATGAGAACCTGGAGAGGTCTGGGAACGCCCTGGAGGCTAGGGAACAGAGGCCCCTCTTCAGAAGTGTGTAGCACAGGCAGAAAGAGGGGTTTTGACTACAGGTTTGTTTAAATATTTTTCTGTTGTTGTCCACTTCCATTTGATCACCAACAAAATAGTAGAAATGATAAATAGACTGACTGTGGTGTCCAGCAGCACCTCACAGCAGTTCTAAGCTGTAAAGGGCAGTAGCGTGGCACAGTATATTATGTGCAAAGTCACTGCTATGTGCTAGAATGTGATAGAGAAGGAAGGACAAATGCCAAATATTATTATTGGCACTATTTTAAATTTTACATTACAATAAAACAAGTCAAATTAGTAACATTTAATTTTGGTGGCTCTTGAATAATGTTCATAGGCTCCTCCTATACCAAGCTTCCTCCTTCTCTTTCCAAAACAACTGTCCTTGTCATATACCTTGCTGGGCAGGCCACTTGCAGTCTGGAAACTCTCCCCACTATGTCTTGACTTAGCCCAGCAAGGGAAATTGCAAAGATTCAGTAGAAGAGTTTGCTGCTGCTCTCCATTTCCTGTTTCTGGGGCTTTCTCTTATTCTCTGACATTTCCCTTGTCATGGAAATAATGGAATTTGTGGTCTTCCTCCTGACCCTGCTCCATGACCTTAAGGCATATCATTGTCCCCACTGTGGAGAATCCCCACTGCCAGTTACCCTAGCTTTTACCATGCCAAGTCAAAAAAATCTTCCATAAGGTTAGTTCACATTTTGCTCCTTCATTCATATGGGCACATGCAAAAGCTATCCAAAAGTGTGAAATTATAGGACTTATTTATTAAACAACTTCTGATAGCCAAGACCAAACTACTTCCGTTCCAGTCCCAACTAGTTCTTGCTTTACCATTTTATCTTCTCATGGATCTGACCAGCATCTCTTCTCCTGCTTTAGACATTGATGAATGCTCCACTGGCAAAGCTGTCTGCTCTTACAACCGCAGATGCATCAACACATTTGGAAGCTTCTACTGCAAGTGCCAGCTTGGTTATGAACTGAAATACGTCAGCAACCATTATGACTGTGTAGGTAAGATTTAGCCCATGGACTTTCCTTATTAATTCTTTTTCATTCCCACACTGTGCATCCTTCCTGTTGTTGCCTGAAGCATGTTAGCCTAGTCCAGGGGTACTGCCTCAGAAATGGATAAAAGATGTCACACCAAGAATATTCTTGATGGCACTTTGAATTTTTCTCTGGGTTTTCTCTGTGGCCTAATGAAAAACCTAATCACTGGAGCTTGCAGATTCAATTGCCTCATTGTACTAAGTCAAGATGTGCAAGTTAGCAACAGCTGACTACGAAGAAGTGCTATTTCTGGTACGGGTTTAGTTAAAGAGCCTTTTTTTTGTCCTCTTGGCTTTCAACCTGTGATGAGCAAGCAGTCCCACAATCTTATTTTGCTTTATTTTGTCTTGTTAATCAGGAATGTGTATCAGGTGCCTTCATGACTTTAAAAACAGTTTGAGACTTTTTTTTTTTTGAAGTATGACAATAGTAGATTTTAATTACTTTTCCAGTCTCTCTTGCATGCCTAAGTTTCTCCCAAAGAAAAATAAATAGAGGCAAAAAGTTATCTTGATATGCTCAGGTGTTAAAACAAATGTTAAAACTCCTGTTTCAATCCATTAGCTGAATAGTAGGAGAACAGCAAAATATAAGTTACTGCAGCAGGCACTGCAGCAGTATTGTTCAAGCAGTTGATTACACAGGGCCTGGAAGGGTTGGGACTACTACAGGAAGTGCATACAAAAGAGAATTCATCGGTTTTGTTTATATTTGCTTGGTATTGGGAGTTAGGGGTGGGAGGAAGATCATAAGGAAGGATTTGGAGACTCAAGTTTGCATTTCCTGTTGTATGCAAACCCTGAGTCTTAAAGTGGAAAAAATACTTTTTCATACAATATGTGTGCATGGGGGAAAAACTGGAGAGATCTCAGTAGTCAGGATTTTACCTGCAAACCTGAATCTCACTTTCAGATGTACCATATTTTTGAGTCAGTCTTCCTGCTACTTGTCTCCTAGCTGACTTACATTATGAGAGGACCTGTCAGCTGCTAAAAATGAAGCAATCTGGATAAAGTACAAGTGGTGCAAAAATGTGTGCACAAACTTGGCTCCCTTGTGGGAGAATTAAGGACCATCTTTGTGACGTAGTAAAATAAGCAAAAAGGAGAACAAAATCAATTACTCTTGATGCCTGTACATTTTGCTGTCAGTTGAATGTAGTATTTTCTACTGATTTTTTCCTGATTATATTTTTTTCATACAGTGTCATATGTATGCTGGAAGGTTAGAGAGAGAGAGAGAGAGAGAGAAAGAGAGGGAAAATCATTGTGGCATGTTCAGGGTTACTTTCCACTGCATTTCTTCGACAGTGAATGAAAAAATTAGAAAAATTTGGCGAATTGTTTTTTAATTGTTCTCACATTTGCTTGGTGCCTTTTGCATTTTATTAATAGAAGACTGTGTACAGCCTACAGTTTGAATCTGGTTCTGTCAGAAAATCACTGCATTCGCTTTGTCTTTACTGTGATGTTCTGCATTCTCCATGGATGCATATGCCAGTAGTTGTGCAGTTGTTGCTGATGCTAAGCATTCTCTCCTAGTGTGAATTCTTCTGCTTCCAATGTTCTTTGGACTGTCTTGGTCTAACACTAGTGCTTCCAATATCTGGAAACAGATGGCTGGCATAAACAGGCTGTCATGAAGCTTGGGTTTCAACACAGTGTTCAATGAAGCATTTCTATCTTTCCCTAGATGTAAATGAATGTGTGACAAATACACACAGGTGTAACTTCCATGCAGAGTGCCTCAACACCGAAGGATCCTTCAAGTGTAAATGTAAACAGGGGTACCGAGGAAGTGGATTCAATTGTTCTGGTGAGTACCACTGGATGTCAGGAATAGGACTATATAGTTTTTCTCCAATAACTGATGGCTATAAGGCGTTTTCTAGGAAACAGTGCTACAATACCAACCAAGCAAGACCTCTCCACAAAATAATATATTAATTGTAAGAGTCATTACATAGTTAATACAAGTATTATTTTTCAAATTAATTTTGCTTATGAGTCCTCAAGTCTCATAGTATCACTAGGAATTGCAAGTACAACGGAGAAGAGAATTTGTCCTGAAAAAACACAGAAAATAGCTTTAAAAAATCTACTGTCTGTTTTCCTTGAACTCCCACGGCTAGCCCCTTGAAGGGCTGTGCAGTCCCTTCCAGAAGAGTTTCAAGCTAACTTTGGAAAATGTGATAGAAGGGAACAAAGACATGACTTGTGTGCTAAACTATTTTCACTTATAATTTTGGCTTTGTTTGTCTATTGGATATTGAAGACCTCCTATAAAGATGTCATTGCCTGGTTCTAACTGAATATGACCTTTCAAGAAGAAAGACGGAAAGGCTGTTCTTGTCTTTATATTTAAAATGAACCTTGTAATTTAACCTTTATTAAACCTGGCAGAGGTTTTTCCTGCAAGGTCATTAGAGATATTCTCCTCAGGAGGACATCTGAGGCCTGCTCAAATTTTTTTAATAAAAGGCATTGTGAAAACATTTTAAAAGTTCTTATCTATAGCAGATGAAATTTACAGAATATATATACCTTTTTTTCCCATGTCTTTTTCAACTAATCCTTGATCAGGTATGTATTATTGTTATACTTCATGGTCATGGATGTTCTATGAGTTTCTCTATTGATATTCCTACTCCCATTATAATAGTAATTGAAACCTCCAATATTGCATTGATAAGTTAAACCTGTTAAGTTTCTACTTCCAGTAAAAGATGTTGACTTTTAATGAGGAAAAACTAAACACACAAAAACCTGACTGGTACTGAAGAGTTTGATTTGGACACAGATTGCCACAGAAGAGCTCAGAAGGTTCTTCATGCTCAAATTCAGTGTTATGAGCCAGTTTCCTTGCTAGACCACATCCCTTGTGATATGTCACTGCAGCTTACTGCAATGGGGCTTGAGACCTGACTGAATATCAAAGCAAACTGACATGACACATCTTGATATGGTTCTGTTAAAACAAAATGTACCACAGATTAAATGTTAAACAAATACATTTCTGAGCAAAAAGGTCTGGGTTTGGGGTTTTTTGGGTTTGTTTGTTTGTTTGTTTGGGGGTTTTTTAATGAGAAGCTGAAAATTTCAAAGGGAAATCTCCTTTTGACTAAGTCTATGTATAAATGTTCTGTCCTCAAGCAGAAACAATTCAACAGGAATGCTTCTCTTATTATGTGCAAAAGAAATATTTTAGCTTGTTGAGATGCTATGACACATTTTTTAATGTCTAGCCCTGTAAAAAAATCAGTGCTGAAGACAGATGATTTCTGTCTTCTCACTGGTCTTTCCGTTAAATTGTTTGCTGTCTCTCTGCATACTTTCTCATGTCATATTTCCAATTACTGAAGACCATTAGTTGTTTAGAAGAAGGAGCCATGCATTCATAAACTTAGTAGAACACAATAAATGGAAAAGAGATTTAATGCAGAGAGGATAGAGAAATAACATACAGTAATGAGAGAAATCAGAGCCATAGGCAGAAAGTCAAAAGGCAAAGGTCTAGCTAGAAAGATGTATGCAGCAATAGAAGGGAAAAAACCCAGAGTCGGTGGTAGGTAAAACCAGAAAAGCAGTGGTGCTAAAAAAAAGACGGGTTTCTCTGGTGGTAATTCCCACACATACACCATTTTTTTAAAGAGAAGAGGAGGAGGGAGGTACTTTTAACCTTAATGTTTCAATAGTTTATTTTTACTTCAATCCTCAAAAAAATCTGATCAGTGTAACTAATGGGGGCAGGACATGCATTTTGTTGTTGGGGAAAATGTTTTTTCAGTGACATAACAATTAGATACCAGTCTACACTGAAATGCTAAATGTTCTCCATGTCATACAGCAATTATGGAAAAACCTTGGCTTTACTGAAGCCAAAGGAAGTTTTGCTACTGGATTTAATAGGATGAGGACACCATCCTGGGAATTTGGGAGCTGGAGTCTGTGTCTTCACATTCCTTTTGGTGGCAGTTACTGCAATTCCTGCAGCCCATTCCATCACCCAACAGATGGGCCTGGGGTTATGCTGAAGCTAAATGAAAGGCTTCTTAAATATGTCTTCAGTACTCTACATAATTATTCCCACAGGGTCCCATTTTCACAGGGAAGCATTAATTCTTTATAGCAATTGTCTCTAGTATATAAAAAACTGTGTACCATGGCAGCAGTATTAGCTTTTTATAAAAAATGAAAACCATTTCAATATATATCTTAATTTTTAAACTATGAAATGACAGTAATTAAGCACATTGTTTATAATGAAACTTCTATGGCTTCATCTCCTCATGCTACAAAATAACCTAATAAATCAGGTAATGTAAAATTCGCCTTTGCACAAATTTGGGGATATTCTTTCATTTAATTTGTATGTCAATATACTAACTTACGAGAAAGCTGCTGAAACATCAGGCTGAAAACAGTGCTGCTTGCATGGATATGACCTGTGCTTGTTCAGGCACTGTTTTGCCATTCAACACTCCTATATGCATGAAATGTTGGAGGCTGTTTCTGAACTGTCTCTAGGATACATTTCATTTCAGAATCCATAGAGATGTAACCTTTCAAATGCTCCCTAAATGAGTCCTGGCCATTTCCACATCTGGCCTCTATCTTGCTGCAATCTGTTGCTGTTCTCAGGTTCGTGTGTTTCCTGATTTCCTATTGTGCACTGAAATTGAAAAACCACATTTCCCTCACCACATGCTTCTATGTGTATTTCAGCTTTTATTTAAGAATAGAGTCTCACAAGCTTCCATAAGCAATTAAGATTCCTGGGGGGAAAATGAACTTATTTTTGATTCACTTTTTTTGTACAGAAACCAGTACAAAATCACCACAAAAAAAACAGGAAAAAGCAGTACTAACTTAAAGCCTACAACTTCAGGCGTCACTCTAAGGAACTCAACAGTAACACTCATTGCCTGGCTGGGGGCAGAGGTTACTGTTCTTCCTTATGCTTTACTGGGTATCTAAATGGCAATACAAAGTCATGCCAACTCTCTCTGTGCCTCTTGTATTAGTCATGTTCCTATTTGCTCATAGGGTAACCTCTAAACCCCATATATGATTTTGCTTTCTTATTAACTTGCCACTCCTGAGAAAAGGTGGATTTGACATAATGAAATTTCAAAGCTTAAAAAGTGGTTCTGTCATATCACTGGTGAGATTCTTACAGTACAATTCAGTATGGAGCCAAATACTTCTGTCATCCTTTAATAAATAACACTTAGGCTTTTGTCATCCCACATTTCCTACTGGAAGCATTGCTGGCTGGCACAGTCATGTATTAAGCACAGTCCAAGCATGATGAACTTGCCCTAATTTCCCAAAGCATCCTTCCCTAAATAAGATGGTAAGAATTTTAGAAATTAAACAGTCTGGGAATATCTATTAGTAGATGATATTCCATGGTCCTTAAAAGAGAATAATAGTCTAGAATCTGTGTTGTAACCTATCTCTGAAAGCTTTCAGACTCTCTTAAGACTATCTAAAAGAGGTTGAGAACTTTTAGAATGATTTCTGAAACTATGTCCTGCTGATGTAATCTTTACATCTACAGACTCCACCTAAATGTGGTAAATGGTTGTCTGTATCCCCTCTCCAACTTTTATATACAAAAGCTACAAAGAGAGTTACAAAAGGATTTCTAAGACAGTCACTTAGACTTGTCTCTCACGAGATTTTTAAATATATTGCTGGGTGTGAAGGTGGAAGCAGTGCAGGACCTGCTGGAGTGCAGAGCAAGCTGTCTCCTCTTGCAGGCCCCTTATGTTCAGAGCCCCAGCAAGTGCTGGCTGCAGTCACAGGTGTGTGGGATGAAAACAAATCACTGTCTGTCCTTCTCCTGAATCATCCCCTGAGTATTTCTCTTTACACAATGCAGCACAGAGAGGTGGGGTTGGCATCTGCTCCCTATAATTTTTCCAACTCAATTTTCACAACTTGATCATTAGACATCCTACAGCAAGCCGTTGCTGTGGTCTTCTAATATTGTACAGCAACTGATGACTGAAAAGTTTGATTTTTAGCCCTCATCCACCACTTGCCTTTGGTTTTCTACCTCTTGCTTTAATTCTCTCTAATTCAAAGAAGTAAAATCCCTTTGAATGCTGAAATCTTTTCATGCTAGGGCAATAAACAAGAGCAGGAGGCATTAATCTACATGCTTCCTCATAGCAGGTGCATAAAGAAGAGCTGGGATGAAATGCACTAAATTTCTTTTCACTTTCCAAAATTCTCTATGCAGTCAAGTGGATGGATAAATACACAAATGTTTGTGAGCAACACCTGTGCATTTCTATACATGTCTTGGGACAGAGGGTCCTGAAAAATCACTCCCTCAGCTGTAGCACCCCAGATTGTCAGAGAAGGTGAGCTGTTCATTCAGGCGAGTCCACGGGCAGTGGATTTCAACACAAGAGTTTAAGGTCATCTATCCTTACACTGGATTATTCCTTCTGCAATTTATAGGTAGACATAAAAAGCCTTAAACTGACACCTCTGGCTACTCTAATACTGAATGCAGATTAAAAGGATACTAGTGATATATCCCAAAGTATGCTTGGTGTCTAGTCCCTCCTTGTCCCCATGAGCATGCAGATTTTCTTATTGCAGCACCAAACTGGAGTCTGCAAGCACATGGGGATTTATACACTTTCATCTCCCTATTTTTGTCACTCCTGTCAGTTGATTTTTTGCACATACAAGGAGATTGGTTCTCTGACACCACAGAGGAGGTTATTATGTTGAGCTGTAAAAATTCTTCATTTCATTAGGAAGACTTCAAAGCAGAAAACAAATGTTCAGATTTGCTGAGCAGTTAGTCCTGGCTTGAAAATCTCCATAGCCTGTTTATTAACAGCCTGAATTTTCTTGTTACTGACTGTCAAGAGGAAATTTGTTTGGAATGAAGTTTTCCTATTAATTTTTATTACTGCATTCTGAGTTTAGGCCTTACATCCTTTGTGACATCATCCTCCAGAGGAAAGGCTCACTTAGTGGAGTATTAGTAAAGAGTTTACTTGCAAGTATCTGACAAGCAAGGCTACCAGTTGTATCCAAAGGAAAAGAAAAACAAAATCCTCAACTTTTTTTTTTATTGTCATCCACTTACTTTATAATTCAAACTGCAGCCTCAGAAAACCTAAATGCTCCAGTGACCACTCCAAGAGAGTCTGATTCTTTTTCTGGGATACTAATAGCATGTAGTTGTATTTGCCATAAATAAAATGTGACAAATTCAGAGTGATAGAATTGTATTTTCTAGGAGCAAATATAAATTCAGGGAACTTTCCTCTTTTCCTACTAGACTACGGTTCTATTTTATTAACTGGTGGTTTTTCTTCTGCTATGTTTCTATGAAAAGGAACACACAGAAAAAAGTACTACCCAAGGTTATAAGTCTAGTCCACCTGTCCCAAAATATTACTATAAAGTTTTTGTTAGTACAGAGTGAGAAGCAAAATAGGAACATATTCTTACCCTAATAATCCAATCACTAAACAGCAAAAGCAGAGGGAAATTAAAAAAGCATACTTCCCCCACCATTTGCGATCCAATAAGACTGTAGGCACTGCAGCATCAATACTGATTGAGAATCAAAGATGGGAAACAGTATATAAGACAATTCTGATCCTTTGGTAGAAATAGTCTCCATCTATGGAAGAGCTTTTGTATAGCACACTGGAACTGCTCAGCTCTTGTTATTTCCTAGGTATTTCACACAAAAGACTTATATTGCAGAAGGCTATCAATATCTTATGACATGGATATGCTATCCTACTTATCCATCCTTCTCCCTCACCCATACAGATTCAGGCTGTGGCCAACAGTAGAGAGATAATTGCATACTGACTGGTCATGTCATAGCAGTCATGAAATCCTGAGTTGATTCAAAATCCTCATTGTCTCAAGCCTCAAAGTCCATTGCCATGGACTTTAAACCCCAAGGATGCTCTCTTCCTCAGTAGCTCTGGCACTATGACAGATAGGGACTTGGTTAACTCTAGTGGAATCCTTATGGTGGGATGGGATCATCTCATAAACTAGAACTCCTCAGATTTATGTCTTCTCTAAAACTTGCATATTTGCCACACAAACCCTTCCAGACCTAGTTCTGGCACAGTGTCATTCCTTGACTAATGACGAGCAGCAACTGATGTTGCTGATAAAAAGCAACACCTGCAGTACTGCCATAATTTCTCCTTTGAATTTGCTTTGTACTGTACACATACCTTGAACAAACTGATCCAAAGTAGTCCTGGCTTTAACCCTCAGTTATGATTTGGCCATCAGCACAAAGAGCCATCAGTCTTTGTCAGATGACAGAAGAAGAATACATCTGTAAGGGGCTAAAAGAGATGTTACTCTGTTCTTTTGCTCTGAGGCAGATCATATCCTGCATATTAATGACATATGGTAGCCTAACAATTTTTTTAAAACTTCTAGTGATACAGTTCAAATTGTCTAAGTGGCTTGCTCATATGTTTTACTATCCTATAGCAAGGATAGTAAGCAAGTTTTTCATAATATGTAACTAAAATCTATCCTCCTTTCATGTAAACTGATAAATTTCCTATCTTAAGAGAACATGGAGTACAGCTGGCCAACATACTGTCTCAAAGGTGCCCTTTGTGCTGCTACCGAGTCCCACTACTAGTGGAAAATCAATGCTGCCTCCCCACATCCCTAGAAAAGCATCCTCAAATGTGTTCCTATAAAAAATGTCCCTCATTCAAGCATCCAAACATAATTTAATGATTTAGAGAAAGGAAAATCGAATTTTGAAAGAAATAAAAGGCTTGTGTCTTGAAACTCAATACATTGACAAGGAAACCATGATTTGAAAATCAGCGCTGCCATGTAAATATAAAAGTGTCCTCTTACCAATGAATATTTTTAAGTTTTTGCCTGAATATAGAAGATAATTTACTTCCTTATACTTCATAATAGGGAAAACCCCAAATGTGGGTGCGTATGCCTGGTCGTGAACCTTCTGTGTCACTGACAATGTAAAAGTATCATCAGCATTTGGGTTAGAAGATTAATGACGTCTAAATTAATTACTCACTTGGGTTAGAAGACGGCGTCTAGATTAAGGATGGCTAAAAGCAAAAGAATTTGTGCTTGTTAGGGAACAAACAGATAAGAAGGGATTCCTTAAAATAACAAAGCAGAAACGTATCTACCGGCTGCGTGCAGTTAGGAGTCTTTATCGAAAGTGCTGAGAGGAACTAGTTTTTGAAATGAGCATGCGCTAGAGCAACACACGGATTTGCTCTTATTTTTAGAATGTACAAGAATATATAAGGACTTATTTTTCTAATAAACTTAGAGAGCTTGACTGTTAACCATATTGGTGTGTGTCTTGTCTCTCAACCTCATCCTGCAAAAAAAGGGTTCCTGCTACACCCAAATTCTGATTTTTTTCTTTTGTTTTACAGATTTGAACAATCTTGATTGACTTTTACCCCACTCTTAAGTTTTTCACTTCTGGCAGCCTTTGTGTTTCAGAGCAGAATCCAAAGTAGCAAGACAATACAAGGCTGGCTATCCTTTTAGTATTTTGTACCCAAGAGGAATCATAAAATAGTAAAAATCTAGAAAATTTTACACTTATGTTCTAGTCACCTTGAAACTGCAAGAAGATGCCAATTTGGTATTCTTGGATGCTTCTCTGAATTTTGGGGGTTTACCCCTTAGAACTAAATATTATCTAGAGCTAAATGAAATGTGACAGAGCACCTTGATGTATCTTCTCTCAAAATACACTCCATTTCAGTGGCTTTCTACCTGTCATGCAAGGAAAGTTGGGCCAGAGAAGTTCACCAAAAGAAAGCTAAGAAAAATGCTTGTTGATAGTAGGCTGACATTTGTTATGCAGAGAATCACACCTCCATGGACAATTTTTTAGCAGTTCACGAATTGAAGAAAGATAATTCTTTTTTTTTTTTTTTTACCCAAGCTCCAGTGTAAAAATAATTAATGTAAGGTGCTCTGTGGTCTGTGTTACACATGTGTCCAAATGAGGTTATGACAGAGGGTAGCTTTGATCTTTTCACTGTAACTCAAACAGAAGGTTGTCTGTACAACAGAGCTAAACACGTTCATGTGTATTCAGTTCCGTGGAGAGCTGAATTTACACCTCACAGTAGAGAATTTGGCTGTATGGGTCTATGGACATTGTAAAGGACACTATGATGCCACTTATAAATGTTGTCACTGCTGAATGATTCCTTAACAAATATTTAGTATTTTCTTCTTGGTTCTAGTTATCCCTGAAAAGTCAGTGAAGGAAATTGCAAGAATCCCTGGAACAGCTAAAGACAGAATTAAGAAACTTCTTGCACATAAAAAAAGTGTGAAAAAGCATGAAACACTCAAGAATGTGATCCCAGAAGCAGCTGTGACACCGTCTTCTAAGACCCACTTGCAGTTATTGGACTATGAAGGTGGTATTGATCTTCATGGGAGCTACAGTGAGGAAGAGAAAGAAACTGAAGCTACTACAGAAGAGGCAGAAGAGTCAGACAAAGAAAAGAAGGAAGATTATGAGAATCAAATTGACCATGAGCAAAGCCTTAGAGGAGATGTTTTTTGTAAGTGTCTTCATTATTTTAAAAATCTGGTTTCAGTCTAAAAATATATATAAACACTAACAAAATCATCATTAAACATTACAGCCATTTCATCAGAATTTACTTGTAGAAAACGAAAAGCAACCTAACATACCTACTGGTGAGACTAAAGGTACTGAATCTCCCTTTTAGGGGAATCTGTCTGCAGCCAATGTGAGCAGAGAGGGAGTACACCATCCTGACAGGCACTCTGCAGGCTGTGCTTTCAGAGCAGCTTAGATATAGCACATAGCTTCTCCCCATTTTCTTCACAAAAGCCCCAGCAAAACAAGATAGTGTGCTGCTTCGTTAAGAGAAAGACAATAGATACCTTTGATTCATGATAGTCAGAGTCATCATCCTAAGTAGTGTGCATTGTTCAGAGGAAAAACAGGCTTTGGTGTTCTTGTGTTTCAAATAATATAGACTATATAATAGGCACCAGTGTTGCTTATGTCATTCCCAACAGAAAAATAACTACGTGAATCACAGAGGGGAGTTTTTATCCCTTTTGTTTAAATGTGAGAGTTTATCTGAATGGACAATCTCGAATTTAAAGTATTTGATGGTATTTGACCATCAAATAAGGTGTCCATCATAAGGAGTCTTGCTTAATTTCTGACATTAGTCATTTATCAGAAAGATTGACATACGTTTCCTCAGTCTGCTTTCAGGTGTTTCCCTACAACTATTATCTTGTATGCTATGCAATTTCTTGCTGTGTTCCTTAAAGGTTTCAAATGCATTTTAATTGGGTTTTAGTACATCTGACTCAAACATTCTTCAAGGTAGTGGCAAAAACATGTAATATGAAAAGCATACCCTGGAAATAGTTTATTTGTGATACTTTCTCTTTTACAAAATATAGACAAATAATAAATACCCACAATAATTAAAATTATGCACCATATTTTGCAATAATACAAATGAACACAAGTGAAGATTAATATAGCGCTCAAATTGTTGCTATTTGATTTGAAAAGACATGTAATTTTTTTAAAGGAAAGATCACTTTAAAGTCCTCTAGAAAAAATGGTATGTAATCCTTCTACTGTAAAAAGGCAAAAAAAAGGTGATTATTCACCTAAATGCATTTGAGAATACAGGCTTCTTTGCCAAAGGCACATTTGTCCTAAAATTGCCTTTTTTAGGTTTTCAGTGGTAATTGGCCCATTTCAGTTCAGGCTAAGGATATAGACTGGTGAATGGAGTTAAATCTAGTTGGTGGCCGGTCACGAGTGGTGTCCCCCAGGGATCAGGTTTGGGGCCGCTCCTGTTTAATATCTTTATTGATGATCTAGACGAGGGGATCGAGTGCACCCTCAGTCAGTTTGCAGATGACACCAAGTTGGGTGGGAGTGGTGATGTGCTCGAGGGTAGGGAGGCTCTGCAGAGAGACCTGGACAGGCTGGAGCCATGGGCTGAGCCCAACTGGAGGAGTTTCCATAAGGCCAAGTGCCGGGGGCTGCCCTTGGGCCACAACAACCCCCAGCAGCGCTACAGGCTTGGGGAGGAGTGGCTGGAGAGCTGCCAGTCAGAGAGGGACCTGGGGGTGTTGATTGACAGCCGGCTGAACAGGAGCCAGCAGTGTGCCCAGGGGGCCAAGAAGGCCAATGGCATCCTGGCTTGTGTCAGCAATAGCGTGGCCAGCAGGGACAGGGAAGGGATCTTACCCCTGTACTCGGCACTGGTAAGGCTGCACCTCGATTCCTGTGTTCAGTTTTGGGCCCCTCACTACAAAAAGGACATTGAATGACTCGAGTGTGTCCAGAGAAGGACAATGAAGCTGGTGCAGGCTCTGGAGCACAGGTCATACGAGGAGCGGCTGAGGGAACTGGGGGTGTTTAGTCTGGAGAAGAGGAGGCTGAGGGGAGACCTCATCGCCCTCTACAGCTCCCTGAAAGGAGGCTGCAGAGAGCTGGGGATGAGCCTCTTGAACCAAGTAACAAGCCATAGGACAAGAGTTAATGGCCTCAAGTTGCACCAGGGAAGGTTTAGACTGGATATTAGGAAGCATTTCTTTCCAGAAGAGGTTGTTAGGCATTGGAATGGGCTGCCCAGGGAGGTGGTGGATTCCCCATCCCTGGAGGTGTTTAAGAGTTGGGTCAACTTAGTGCTGAGGGATATGGTGTAGTTGGGAACTGTCAGTGTTAGGTTAATGGTTGGACTGGATGATCTTCAAGGTCTTTTCCAACCTAGACGATTCTGTGATTCTGTGATTTCTCCCCCAAATTATGCTAGTGAGCTGATAAACAGAGTGAAGTCAGGTCTTTGTTCACCAACCTCCTCCTTTCCTGCAAATATTAACAGTGAGTGCTTATGGCATGTTTCAAGTTTTCTGACAGTACCAAATGCGGGAGAGTGACCCATATGCTAAAAGGACAGTGCTGCTATTAAGAGGGACCTGGCCAGGGCGTAGAAATGGGCTGACAGGGACGTTATGAAGTTCAACAAAAGCAAATGCAAAGGGCAAGAAAAGCCTTGTGCAACATTATAGACATGGGATGACTGCTTAGGAGGAAGCTTTGCAGAAAAAGGGAAGTGGTTCTTCCCCTCTATTTGGCACTTGTGAGACCACATCTGAGGTGCTGCGTCCAGTTTTGGTCTCTTCATTACAAGACAGATGAGGACATACTGGCACGAGTATAGCAGTGCTCCACCAAGGTCAGGGTCCTGGAGAACATGGTAAATGAGGAGAGGCTGAGAGTAACTCTTTTTTTTCAGCCTTAAGAGGAGAAGGCTAAGGGGAGATCTTCCCCTTAGCTGTCTTCAGCTATCTAATGGAAGGTTATAAAGAAGGCACAGCTAGACTCTTCTTGAAAATATACAGCAATAGAACAAGAAGTAATGAATACAAATGGGAACAAAAAAATTCTGATTAGATTTAACAAAAAGAATATTTTATCATGAAGGTAGACAAAAATTGGTACAGGTATGCAGAGAGGTTGTGACATATACATCCCTGGAGATGATACGATATTCCTAACATGACTGTGCTGGGCCTTGATCAACCTCCTGATCAGGAGGTGACTAGGTGACCTACAGATGTGCCTTCCAACCTACATAATTCTATGATTCATTCTATACTTTCAGCTGAGCATTTGAAAGCAGTTTAGAAAATAGTGGTATCCAGTGTGAGTAGACCTGCATCCTGGAAGATGCTTAGGTGCCTCTCTGGTAATGTAAGCATATAAGCTCACAAGTCAGTAATCGGTGATATTTCCAAAATATCAGAACAAGTGTCACTTGGCCACATGCAAAAATACACTTATGCATGTCAGTTTTTAACCAGATCAAATGGTGAAAAGTTTCTGGCTAACAGTGTCACGCCTCCAAATTTGAGGATGCTATGCTCAGGATGCCACTCTCCCTCTGGCCAGCCACACCAGATTCATTATGCAAGCCTCAGCCTATCTCTTTACTCAGCCTTTCACTTCTGACAAGTTTATGCCGCTTTCTATCCATCTTATAAGGATCCTTTCATAAATCACTTCCCTAAAAGAGGTAGCAGGTGCAGGAGCTGAAGCCAAATTGGGTTTGAAGTTTTCACTGGATGGCAAGCTACCCTTGGGGTTCAGTTTTACCATGTTGGTACTGCCAAATGCATTTGAGAGTCTCAGGCCAAAGGATTAAGTGACTTGCCTCTGTTCTCTCACAAGAAGCAATAAAGCCCAGGTCTTCTGATGGCCAATCTCATACTTTTACGATTAGAGAATTCTGTTTCACACACATTTCCACTGAAATACTATCCTAAAGAAGGACATAACTCTTCCCAGTCATGATAATTAATCCAAAGGTGGCCATAATTTTGCAGGAAGTATGGAGAAAGTGAGCTGAAGACAGTTGCAATATATATGTCAACCTTTGTTAAGACTAGGTTCTCAGGTACTCAAGCTTCTTCATGAAGTAAGTTGACAGGGAGCTTGCATGTGCCAGGAGAATGGTGTGAATTGACCAGCTCTGGTAGTACCAGATATGTTCAGCTAGATTTAGTTAGACTGGGAAGGACTCAAAATGATTGACTAATTAACTGCAAAATGCTAGTGGAACCTGAAGGGATATTTACCCTCAACAAGAGTGTGCTTCCCCATAGTTGTGATTTTTGTAGGGACAAAAGATTTTCTTTCCAAACAGAATTGCAAGAATATTGCCATTCTAAATAGCACTTTTAGGGGCATAGGACTAATAAGTTCTATTAATAGTTATTGTAAATAATAAATTAAATATAAGTATTGCTGTTATTAATTATAAATACATTTATTCAAAATTCTGTGCCATAAAGGACTGTGGGCTTTTCTGCCTCCTCAATTGTGAGGCAAGACAGCCCATTAGAAAAAAAAAAAAAAAAAAATCTAAGTCAGTCCTCCTATCCCTTTTTGCCTTTCTGGGATGGCAGGCTGGCTGGCTGGCTGAATGAGGGATGTAGCTCAGACATCTCAAAAGGCTTCTTCTGTAACCTGCTTGGACAGGTCAGGAAGGATTGCCAGAAATAGTGCCCCTAGGGTAGGGTCACCCTCTTTATTTTTTTGTTAAAAGAACATAGGGCTCTGCTCTCTCTGCCTGGTGATACAAGGGGAACATGCTCTCCTGTACTGGGCTTACATGACCTGATGCAATTGCAAAGGGTAGATCATGTAACCTTCCTGTTGAGTACTTAGTGCTACACTATCCGGAATGCATTCATTTCCCAGATTCCAGTTTGCATGAGAGAACACAGAGCAAATCATTTGTCCTTAGGAAAAGCCAAATAATATACAAGAGATGTTCGTCATGCTGTTTGGTAAGATTCTTTCTCAAGGACTTTCTCAAACAAACCAGGACATTTGAACACTGTATACCTGGGCTAGGCAGAGACTACTGGTCTCTACAAAATTGCCACTGTAACTGACAGCAGTTACAATGAATAGTATTTCTTGAAAAGTATTAAAGCACTGTGTTTTATCTGTATTTTTGCAGAGACTGTCTTTGTTCCAGTCACATTT